GTACGATCGGATTATGTTTGGTGGTGTCTCTTTTATGCTCTTCCTCATCCTGCTGAATGTGGTCTGCTTCTCATAATATGTCTTGTGGTGTGTTTGGTGTCATTTTGCATTTTCTCTCTTTGCTTTTATATACGTGGTTTTGTTTTGTTCTTCATTAAATGTGTTACTTCTTGTGCTATATAATGCAAGGTGGATTTTAGTATTACTAATGTCTGGAGGTTGTGTGCTTGCGTATGTACTCCTTTTGTAGCTGTGTTGTTACGACCCTTTGTGATGTCTCTTTTACTCTTATTCCGCTTTACATGCTGTTAAGAGTATATGGCATCCTCACATATGCAAGGAGTGTGTTGCTGGTTGTGTTTGTGGTGGCAATGCAGGTAAAACACACACACACACACACACACTTGCACACTCACAGAATGAGAATCTGTGCGCTATGGTGGGGTTCCCACTTGCCGTAGCGCAGTTGTGAATGTGCCGTGGATCAGTGTGAATCACTGTGACTGCAGTCTGTCTGTAGGGATAAAAACGTGTGGCATACCGATTTGCTTTTTACAGCGCCTAGGGCACCATATGCTGATTTCTGATAATTTTGATAAACTGGACCTTCTGTGGTCCATCCTCCTCCTGCTTCTCTGCGCTCCCACATACTTCCCCATACTCCATGTCTATAGAAACTAAGGGACACAAGGATGCCGTTCAAAATCGCACCCCGCCTACGCAGCATGCCCTTGCTGTTGTTTTGTGTGGTGCCCACTATTGTTATATGCATATACACCGTATTCTGGTATGGGGGCATATCATCACCCCATTTATCAGAAGAAATTGTTTCTCCTGTCCAAGAAAGACTGACACCCGCTCTGGATGATAGTGATTATAATCTGAATTACTCTGCTTACCTTCCAGAAACACTGTCAACTATAGTGAAGTCGCGCACGGAATCGTGGAGAGCGGATAGTCTGTCGATGATGCTACAGCCACGAGAGTACCGTCGCATGACGTGTGCCCAGCTGCGCGCACAGCACCAGCGTGAGATTTCAATTGCCGCTGGGCGCAAAAAGCACTCCAAGAGACCTGGGCGCGGTCGTCGAGAAAGCTTGCATGTAGGTCCACATCCCGTGTGCGGACGCTACCTGCTCTCACGTCTAACGGGTGGGAAGCACCGCTATGTGTTTGTTGTGCGTACCGGGCGCCCCCAGCCGTCACAGTTGCC